GTACACAAACTATTTTTGTTCATAATTAGTCTTGTAGCTTATAATATTAAAATAAAAGTAAGCATGAAATGTTTAGTATAATATCAAGGCATAAACATAAACTGTCTAGCACCTGATATTTCAACGATTCAATAGAATGGTTGATAGGATTAGCTACTTCAGTTATTTTTATTTGGACTTCAAAATCATCTTCAATAAATATCATTTCTTCCAATTCTAGCTCATCAAATAAAGGAATAACAATCTACGATATTCTCATATCATCAAGGGACTCAAATCCATCTGCAGTAACATCTCATGTCTTGTTATCTTCTTTTATATAAGTTTGAGTCTTTCTTGATAGAAGTCGAAAATTTATATGCACATAAAATAAATCTTCAACACGTTGTGGAATAATTTTATTTCTCTTCATTGATTGGATGGAGAATGTGTTCCAATCTCCAACAAGAAGAAGAGGATGAACCTGAACGAGAAGTTTTATGGCGATTATTATAAGTAGAGGTGTTGAAGATCCATCCACATCTTTCGATATATTATCACCTATCACAAAAAAACTCTTGGTCATCAAAGTCTTCAAAATAACAAAAAAAAAATTTAGCAAGCTCTATATTGACCATCATTCTCTTCTTCTCATTTAGAAAATAATGCTTCAAGCATGTCTTCCTCATATTTAAAATTTCTAAATCTTTTTAGTGAGAAACACGTTGACGATTTTTTTGAAGTCATTTATTACTTTAATATCTTCAAATAATAATAATATGAAATAGAATTAAATAATTATTATTCAGTAAATTGATAAATAATTATGAAATATAGGTAAAATTTTACTCTTGATTTAATGAGTAAGTCAAATAATATAGGGGTGTGTTACTTTTGTTCTACCTATCTTCTAAAATATTATAGATAACACTTCATAAACTTCAATCTTCATCATGTGACTTTCTTTCATGATGAAATTTAGCTTGGATTTATTGCAAAGTAAACTGTTCGCTCTCTCCAATGAAATAGAGTATATCTTAAGTTATACTAGTTCTAGTTATGAGATGTTAAGATTGATGGATATAGATAAGTCATGTTTATATCTCATTTATGAGATATGAGATTCTATATTAGCCAAGATTGAAGAAATAATATAGAAACATGAAAGAAAGTTACATGATGAAGACTCGAGTTTCTGGTGTGTTATTTATACTATTCTAGAAGATAGGTAGAGCAAAAGTAATGCTCATCTACATTGCTTAGCTCACTCACAAAATCCAAGATAAATTTTAACATATTTTTCATAATTAAATATTAATTTGTTGAATAATAATTATCTAATTTTTTTAATTTATTATTATTTAAATATATTCAAGTAAAGAAGAGCTTCAAGAGAATCCTCAATGAGTTTCCCATACAAAAAATTTAGAAATTTCAAATTTGAGGGAAACATGCTTGAAGCATTATTTCTCGAATGAGGAGAGAAGAATGGTCAATATAAATTTTGCTTAATTTTATGGTTATTTAGAAGACTTTGGAGACCAAGACTCTTTATGGGATAGGTGCAAAATGGATCCAAGAATCTGATGATTTTTTTATGAACTTTCACCACCTCTACTTCAAACAATAGCCATAAAACATCTTGCTCAAGTTTCATCCTCCTCTTGTTGTAATAGAAATTAGAGCACATATTTCGTCATTCAATCAATGAAGATTAACAAAATTACTCCACAACATGTTAAAGATTTAGTTTATGCATATACAAACATTCAACTTCTATCAAGAAAGACTTTAATTTATATGGAAGGAGATAACAAGATATGAGATGTTGCTGGAGATGAATTTGAGTGCCTTGATGATATGAGAATATTTTAGATTGCTAGCCTTTCACTTGATGAGCCAAAATTGAAAACAATAATATTTATTAAAGATGATATTAAAGTCCAAAGATATATTCCTAAATAAACTAATCCTATCATTTCTACATAATAGTTGAAACTTCATGTACTAAACAATTTATGTCTATGTTTTTTATGTTATACTAGACATATCATGCTTACTTTTATTTTGATATTATAAGCTACAAGACTAATTATGATGTTGCTTCATTATTTTTATCATTTTAAATATTATGCTTTGATTGTTTTCTTAATTTTAATGAATGTTTTACAAATCATAATGTCGTGTCCGTAATGTACTCGTGTCCTACACTTTTAAAAATTGGCATGTCCCTTATCTGTGTGCCATGTCATATCCATGTAACCGTATCCGTTTTGGTGCAACATAGGTTGTGAACCTAGAGTTTATTTGTTTTGGTGGAGGCTGCTTAACAAAGTCATTCATACCAATCAATTTCTATGTTATAGAAGGTTGTAGGGGTATGAAAAATGTCCAAGAGGATGCAATGCTGTGGAAAATGGCGATCATATAGCAGCTGGTTGCGGTAAACTAAAGGAAGTTATTGAAATCCTTAATAGATGGGGATTTTGGATTCCAATATGAATTCTCTGGAAGATTGTTGCAAATGGATGGATGACAAAAGCAAATGGATGGTGAATTTGTATTGTAACACAGTATATTTATCTTGGAAGGCTAGGAACTTGTTGGTGCATGGAAACAAGATTTCAAGTCCTTTGATAATAGCATCCAATGCTGTTAATATCTCTGTAGTTACTAAAAATTAAACTTGTATAAGCTTAGGTATTGAGGATGCTAATCAATGGCAAGGTTGTTGAATACTTGACATCCTCCTCCACCTGATTGGATCAAAGTTAACATGGATGCGACTCTTTTCAAGTCTTATAAAGCTGGAGTTGGAGGAGTTTTTAGAGACTATCAATGGAGATTCTTAATGGCATTCGATATTTCTTATGTTCACTGGGATGCGGCTGATCTAGAGCTACAGGCCATTTTTTCGATCAAATCGGTACTCCGGAATTGGATGTTTGATTATAAAGGCTTGATCATTGAAGGGGATAACAAGAATGTAATTGATCACATCAAGAAGTCGGTGGATAAAGGTGAAGATGAGCTGAGAGATATTTCTTTTATTAAACATTTTCATTTTGTTGTTTTTAATTGTGTGGAAAGGGAGAATAATAAGTTAGCGGATCTTTGTGCTAACTATGCTTGCATTAGTCCTTTTTGTTGGGAAGATCTAGATATGAATAAGACCCCTCCTCCTTTTATCACTTTGATAAAAAAAGAGTCGGATGCTTGTATGTTGTAATAACTCTAGTTATTTTCCTTTAATATTAAGCTGATTGCTTGGGTTTTTCAAGAAAAAAAAAAAGGTTGTGAACCACCAAGTGAGAATCAAGAGAAGTTGTGAAGAGTTATTATGATTACTGTTTACAGCAGCTATATAAAGGTGCCTTGAGGAAGAGAAGGCTTCACTTTTCCTTCTGCCATATATTCTTTGGCTTCTTCCATGAAGGAATTTGAGAGAGATCATCATTTATCGCGTGACCATTTTTCAAAATTAAGGGAAGTCAAGAAGTTTTTGGTACCTTTTTAAACCTTCCTCAACAGAAAAAGATGTTATTCCTTGCCATTTTCTACATAAGCCAAGCAGATATCAGATGATCTAGGTTCTTGGGCAGAGACGAGGTTCTCTTCCAATTCAGATTTTGGAGGTGTCTTATGTGGGGAAGAACTGTTCAGGTCAGGGCGAGCTCTAACAATGGAGGATTTTCAGGCATGGATGAAGTGAAGGGGAGGAAAACCCGCAAGAACCATTAGGTTGGGAGAGAGCTCGAGAATGGTCCAATCTTTGGCAAAAGGCTAAGGGCATCTCCAACCCAAAAACTCATTTTTCACTCCAAAATTCAGTAACACTCTAAAATGTAGTAATTTATCTCCAACAGAATTCTATTTCTTAACATCCAAAAAAGAATATTATGATTATATTCTTTATCAATTTTTTATTTATTTTCTAACACAAAATTGAAGTCGGTGAATAGTGCGAAATCAATATTGACATTATACTATTCACCACACAAATTTTGACATGTGATTTAACGTTCGAAACGGAGCAAATGACGGCATACCATCGTATACAGCTCGTTTAGTGATGGTGTCTAAGTCCAGAAGTGGATGGGAGAAAAAGGATAAAAGTTGAAATAATCGGCCCAAAAGAGAGAAGGTGAAGCACCTGGATAAAGCAGTGCTTATGGAGGTAATGGAGAAGAGAGAAACCCTAGCAACCTAAGCTCCGCTCAACGAAAAATTATTTTGTTTACTCCATACAGCAAACAGAGACCAACCAGAATACACTACGTCACTTTTTTGCTTGGTATTGATGCTCGGCACCGAACGGTACCGGGTGATATGGCACGTTCCGAACCTTCCGATGTCCGCATAGAATAATTTCTCCAGCTAAAAACCCTAAAAAAGCAAACTTAGCGTTCATTTTCTGAAAGAAACTATCTCCTCTAATTTTTTTTCCCGTTTTCCGATTTTAAACTAATAATAAAAAATAAACTTTTTATTTTTCTAACTTGCATTTTCTTCTCAAATTTTTAACACCCAACCAAAGCTTAAGACAATACATGGTAAGACAGATGAACAAAGCCATTTCATCATTTGTTGTTCGAAGGATAACCAAATCGGCCTTCTTTTGGGCACCTAATAAGATAAAGGCTTGATGTTGTTGTTGTTATAATGAATCTCTTAATCCCAGGAAATGCATGAATTTTTTTATTAGATGAAAGCTTTCATTCAAAATTTGATCTTCATAAATTTAAAATTTTCAAATCTATTTAAAAACAATATAACATAAAGTTAAATGATTATCAATATCTCACATATTTTAAAGTATTTTCTACAATTTTAAATTTTATTTTCATTAAATTTCTGCTTCTCTAATCAGTTTGAACTTAACAGCTTGCATAGCACTATAGTTCCTCCTTATCTAGTGTGTTAACAGCACATGATTTTAGACTGTTCTAACTCAGAAGCATAAAAATCACCACAATGTAAAAAAGAAAAATAACAGAAAAAAACGAAAAACAAATTCCTGAGTAAGATCACCAAATGCATATCAATAATTTAAACTTTGCAGTGTGACGCTATAAACATTAAACCACAAAAAAAGAACAACTAGAATTCATCCACAAAATCGTTTAAAAAATTTAAAGATCCAAAACCTTACAATCAGTATAGGAAAATCCAACCTTCCCCAATGGAAGCCTCGCCGGGCAAACTGCCCTCATTATATACCTTCTGGTCACCGCCGACCCAAACTTGTACCTGATCCGCCCAAATATCCACAAATCCACCGGAAAAACTCCAGTGGCGTTATCCCTCTGGTACTCCACCTCGCTGCCGCTTGGAGTACCGATCTCCAGCCGTCCCTGGAACACAGCCGGCACCTCCCTCGTCTCCTTCCTACCCTGGTAAAAGACCGGCAGACCGGCCGTCCCTAATCGCATCCCATCGAAATCGGCGTCGGCTTCGAGCCAGTCGTAATAGATGCCGGCCCGAGTGTTAGGGTTTCGGAAAGTGAGATTGGCGGAGAGGTCGAATGAGAGGAATCGGGTCCCGGAGGAGGAGGTGAGGTCGAAACGGCGTAAGGAGGCGGAGGAGACGGCGATTCGCATCTTCTGGGGGCGGAAGACGAGCCAGAGTATGAGGATTGCGAGGCCGAAGGCGACACAAAAGGCGATGAAGGCGCGGATGGCGATGGTGATGAGGCGGCGGAAATGTTCGTTAGGTGGCGGCGGTGGCTGCGGGTAGGCATAGATGGGAGGGCCGTAGTAGCCAGCGCCGAGATGGGATTGTTGCGGTGGAGGCTGATTCATGGCTAGGGTTTCGTCAGGTGAAATTCTGTTGGCGTGGGGATGGAGAAAAGGACTAGGGTTTTTATTTGGGGAGGATGCGGACAATGCACGGTCAAGAAAATTCGGGGCTAACTGATACAGAATGTCGAGGGGCAACGAAGAATTATGTTCGGGATTTGGGTAACTCCTTGGCGTGAGCTCTGCTAGGGTTTGCTTTTTCGCTCTCCTTGGCGGCGCTTTTTCCCGGCGCTTTCCTGGCCTTTGGCCGGGATGGTTTTAGCGCAGGACTTTCCTCCTCTTACTGGGGCCTCCATCCTTGGGACCCCTTCTCTTCCCCTTTCTTCCTCTTATGCGGCTAATCTTGCTGCTCCTTCTGGTTCTAGACCTGAGTGGCCGATGTCTTATTCTAAGCCGGCGAAAAAACTATCTTTTGCCTCTAAAGACCTTTCTGAAGGTAAATCCCTTTGGAACCTTTCTCTTGTTGGTTACTCTCTCGGACCCCGACCCTATTACGAGAGACTTCGTTTAGCCATGGAAAGAGCGTGGAAGCTTAAAGGTGACCTCTCTCTTCTATCTTTGGCGGATGATTTCTTCCTCCTTAAGTTTACTGCGGTTGAGGACTATGACATGGTTTCTGCGGGTGGACCATGGTTTTTGCTCGGAAAGCCTTTCATTTTACAGAGGTGGGATCCAAAATTTCAACCTAAAAGAGACGAGGCAGCTGCCATTCCTCTGTGGATCAAGATTCTGAACCTTCCACTTGCTCTTTGGACGCCTTCGGGTATTTCGAAAATTGCGAGTTACATTGGTATTCCTCTTTACGTTGATGCTCTTACTGCAAATAGAACTAGGTTAACTTTTGCTAGAGTATGCGTGGAGGTGAATAAAGACTCCATTTTAGCTGAAGAAATTCCTATGGAAATTGATGGAATGGATTTGACTTTGAAAGTTGTTTATGACTGGAAGCCGACTAGGTGTGAAGGTTGTGGCTCCCTCATTCATTCCTTTGCTATTTGCCCTCAGAACCCTGACCCTAAACCTGCTATTCCAATTAAGGCTCCGCCTAGAGGGAGAAGCAAGAATTCATTTTACTTTAAGCTAGACAAAAATAAGAATTTTTCAGATTTATTTTACACTCATCCAAATAATTCAAAAATATCTTAAATACACAGCATTCCTTTTAAAATTCTTTTTTTCATCAAACTAAACACTACTTAATAAAATCAATTTATATTGGTTGAGATTTTATTATGAATTTTAATATATAGATGACAATTTAAAAAGTGAACACAAGAGGATCTTAGTTTTACAAATAAATAATATTGAGTGTTATGTGTTTAATTGCCCCTAATTTCTATTAAATAAAATAAAATAAAAAATTTTACTAGATAAATTAATTGTTATCCTCAAATCAAAGATTAATCCTTAAAATTATTTCAAAATTAAATACATTGAGTAGTGCACAATTGAATAACAAGGCTTCAAATCAAGGATTAATCTCACATCCTTTGAGGGATATCCCCTTAAATGCCTGTCAACAGTCCTTTGGTTATGGTAATATATGTTATTGCATAATAATATACCAATAGTTGTACTCATGTGTGGCCTTATGTGGATTGCTTCCATCCATATCCGAAAGACCTTACAAACCATTTATGTGATATATCATGTAGCAACTTATACTGCATAACATGTGTAGCCTTATGTATACTTGCTAGAATTTACTAATCCTTAGTGCTGGACCACCCTATAGTCACTTAGTATATTAATGTGTGATTTAGGCTTGAGGCTCAAATTAGACTGGGATATATAGATTTTCCAACACTCCCTTGACTCATGAATTCCACTTGTGCACACTAATGCTTAACATAGTCAAGATTAAGGCTTTGTTTGGGACAGCTTTTGACCACTATTTTTTGTCACTTTCAAAAAAAAGTACTAAAAAGCTGTTTTAAAAAGTAATAAGAAAACTATTCCAAATAAAGCCTAAATGATTTCTCTTAAATCCTTTATGCCCCATGCCATTGATGATTTTGATAGGTCTAAGCAAATGTAAAACTGGAAGTTGGATTTTAAGGAAGTTACGAGCAATTCAAGTAATGTAAACATGAATATATTGTTAAAATATCATAGATTGCCAAAAGCTTCAAATTCAATTATGTTTAGTTGTTAATAATGATTGGATATAAAATCCACTACACAAATCACTAGGAAGGATCTAAGACCAATTGTTGAGCATTTGGATATCTTATAATTAGATTGTAAGTCACTCATGAGCATTTTCTCTATAAATGAAGAATAATCTCTCTTGCATTAGTCTCATGAGCCCTTGTTACTTTCATTAGACACGTCACAAATGGTGTCGTAAGTCCCACTTGATGATTGAAGAATAATTTATCTTTTACGACTCACAAGCAAAGTAAAACTGAGATAAGGGTATTCATGTAACTCGATTCATTTGAAATTATTTTGGCATAATATCTCAGTTAAGAAAGTAAGTGGTGATATTCTTATCATTTAAATTTATGTAGATGATAGTTTATTCAAAAATATAAGTAAAACATTAAGCTGTTAGTTCTCATATGTTATCAATAAAAGAAAATTGAAATGACCATGTCGAGATCATTCAGGTTTTTTGGGTTTTAGATGAAACAAACAACATGAAAACTGTAATTGCAAACTAAAATCATCAACAAATTATATGATTTTTTTTTTTTTTTTTTTGAAGAATTTTTAATCAAATAAGGCCCCAACAAGTCATTCTACCAAATTACATTAAGATGAATTTAGAAAACCTATGAGTAATATGTTACATTGGAGGATGATTTAATCACTTATTTATCTTAAAGCAAGTTTGTATTATGTTTTTTTTTTTTTATATTTGTGCTTATTTTTAGGCCAATCCCATGGAATCTCATCTAAATGCAAAAGCACATTTTCTTAGTATATAATAGATTCTTTTAGGTTATGTTTATAATTTCCTAAAAATTAAATATCTAGAAAATTTATTTCTAATTTGATATTGACTATGTTGGATGCAAGGCCAATCAAAAGAGCACCTCAGACACATGCTAAATTTTAATATCATTACTTTCATCTTAATCTAGTAGAAAGCAAAATTCTACTAAAGAGACTAAGAATAATATTGTAGACAACATTATTGTATAGTGCTCTTGTTAAAGTAAAAAATAAAAAGACTATAGTCATGCTTGAATACACTATTAATATCGTAATGCTCCTCAAAGAACTTGACCTCTTATATTTTCTTCTTCATCTCTGGTTCATTTCTTAATTCATTTAAATTTAACTTAGTAATTGAAAAACTTAAAATTTCTTAATAAAATAAGAACAAGTCAAAATTTGTACTATATTAGGTCAAGTCAACTAAATCCCAAAACATTAGTTTATTATAATGCTTTATTAGCAGCATAATCCTTCAATATTAAGCAAAAAAACTTATAAATGATAGAAACTCATATGAGTGTGTAATGAATCTATAAACATTACTTGTGAATTGCTAAATAGTCATAAGTTTCCTCTCAAATGGGTACATCTAATGATATTGAACAAAACCGCCTAATTTAACTTCCTCAATTAAATAAATAAGTAAATGAATCATGATAAAAAAAAATAATGTGAGTAATGATCTTTCCGTCTTACACAAATTCATTAGAATATTATTTTGTAATCTCTACAATTCACTGGATTGATAATATGGAACAAATTAACATCAAAAAATATGATATATGTTCAAAAACATGCATAATCTCATTTGATGGGGCATATGACCTAAAGAGAAATTGGTAGAATTTCTTCAATAAGAACATGACAATTATGACATTTCGGATCCACAATCTTCTATTCAAAAAAATAAGTACATGTTGAAATTTTTTATGCATAATCTTTAGACAGTTTCATATTTTCCAAAACTTGGTGCAGCATCAACTTGTTTATCTTTGAAATTATGAAGCAAGCTGATAGCAAAATGCAAGTACCATCATCAAGAATTTGTTAATGTATTTCACTCTTGTTTCCAATTGCAATCAAATCGTATTGTGCATGTAGATTATCTTTGGATTTCTCCAAATAAAGTATCAATATAATTATTACAAATATTTTTCTCAACATGCATAACATCAAGTTTAATTTAGTTTACAGGGTGATTTTTCACAAGGTGCAAGGTCCAATGGCATAGGCTGTAAATATTTAAAGATTTTTCATCCTTTGAAAATTAATTTAGTTTTTAGGATTGTTGACCTCATTTTTCTATGAGATCATCAAGGCCTGTCTAAACTCCTGCTTAGTGATCCTAGGGTTGACAGTTGTCCACTTTTCAATCAAAAAGGCCTGAATCAAATTTCAATCCAACATTTAATTCAATTCCCACTCCAAACTCCTACCCTGTCTACTGTCAAAATTCAATATAATTTTTAATCAAATCTTGGTCTTATCCAATCAACCCCAATCATTTATCTTACTATGATTTATTTGGATATTCCAAAGCTTACCCAATCAAATCCAACATCTAGCACAAACTCAATCTTTTAGTGCAAAACCTAAGGCCAATAGCCTAAGTCTTAAAACCATTTTTAGATGGATTTTCTATCACCATGAAATCTATTCAAATGACCTTCGATTCATGATCTGTCAATTGCATGTTGATTAAAATATATCTTTAGAATCAACTCTCCAAATTTGAGCTCATTCTGAGTTCTTTAGCCCTAGAAACTAGATCTATTTTCAAAGGCTACAAAACCATTAAATATTACGGTCTATGCCACTGAACTTGTCACCATGAAATCTATTATGATCTGTTGACCAATAAACTATATTTTTTTAGCCTAGTTTGACCAAGAGTTAATTGGAGGCCAAAATGACAAAAATGCCATTTAAGAAAAATTTTGGACTTTTGGTTAATGTTGACCTTGATTTTCACTCAAGCTTTGGGCAAGGGAGTTGATTTGGTCAAATTGACCAAGCCATACCCCAAGACCCCTCCCATTGGGTTCATTGGGTCAGACCAAGTCTGTTGAGCTTAGACCCAGGTTTTGGGTCAACCTAGTTGACCCAACTAGCTCAAATCCTCCCTATTTTGATTCAAATCAATTCCAAAGCCCCTTGGCT